CCACTGTGCCTCACTCACTCACTCACTCACTCACTCACTCACTCACTCACTCACTCACTCACTCACGGTCCAGGAGGAGGTTGATATCCCCTGGACACCGGGCAGAGGTGCCTTCTGAGGCTGCTGGAGGCTCATCACCTTTCTGTTAACGCTGGGAGCTCACCTACCATGGCATTCAACAATAACCTGGTGTGATAAAACACTAACGGCACCCTGCTCCTCTCCTTCCATTCTGCTCTCCTCCCCACTTCTGTGTACTCCTCACTTTTTGCCTGTGCTAGCCAATAGGCAAGTTCTTCAGCAATATACTTTTTAAGACAAGTATCAGCAGTGCAGCTTTGTTGGTCCTCTTAGGGTGGTGCCTTCCCAGGATGCTCACTAAAAATTAACATTTCAAGATTATGTAAATAATTTGCTGTCCTTGTATGACAAATGCTGCAACACTCCATGGCTAAATTCCCTTTTTTACTCATCATTTCCAACAAAAATAAAGCCAGCAGTTATCTCTGGGAAGAGCATGTCATGTAACCAGTTATGCTGAGAAAAGGAAGTGGTGTCTGTTCAGGTCAGAAGAAATGAATTTTTGCAGGTAGAACAAATTAAACATTCCAAAAGCTGCTTGAGAAGCTGAAGACCCATCAGTTTTAAACCCCTCAGTGTTTATTGTGGGTAAGGGTCTGTGTTTTGTTATTTGAAGACGTGCCTGTATTTGAATCTCTGCTGTACAAAGTCAGATTCACCGATTGTCTTACACAGTGGTGCTGCTCTGTGCTGCAGACTGCTGAGGATGTTAGTGGGCATTCCTAGATCCAGAATACCATTCCACACATCACCAAAAGGCTCTAGATGCAAATCAAAACCAGATGTCTGAAAACCCAGGAGCACGAGGCCTCCTGCCACTGTTCCTCAGGGCTCTGGTGCTGCTTTTATAACTGCAGCAGCTTCTTGTGAGTGGCAGAATACATTTAGAATATCCATGTAATGCTGTGCAGAGATGCATTGTGTGGATCTAGGAGTGGGGCACTGTCCTCTGCTGCTCCCAGGTCCATCTGTGTGAAGAGACACTGGAAGCTGGAACTCTTTGATCTTCTCCTGCTGTCTCTTGGCACACAGCGTCCACTCTGCTCTCTCCCTAAAAGTGTCAGTGGCTTCTCATATCCGCAGCATCTGTTGTTCTTGAATGGATGATTCCTGTGGAAATCATCTTGGGAAAGGTGAGTTTTAGTATGAAATCTTGACATTTTTTAGTCCTCCTGAACACTGGCTGGAGCTCTGTTCATATCTAGAAGGCAAACCTTCCTGCTTACCTCTCAAGGAAGCTTCTGTGCCTCTCCAGTCCATATAATTGAGCAGAATTGGGAATTTCCATGTCAGAGTGGGACTTCACATTGCTCAGAAAGGCTTTGGGGTATGGGCTGTGGGTCCAGCAAGGAAAGAAAATAGAAATTGTGTGGTTTACAGTTAGGAGAAAAAGAGGAAAAAAAAAAAAGTCTGATGAGGATAGGAGTTACTACCTTGTGAAACAGGAGTTTTGGAAGCTATTTGGGGAACAGAGGGAATGATCAGCATCCTGAACAGGGAAGGCACAGCACAGACAGGACTGTAGGCAAAAGGTATCTTCTATTCCCAGGGCCAAGCCAGAATTAAAGAAGAGCAAACCCTGAGTAAAGCACTCAGACCTGCAGGGTCTGAGCCAGTAACCCAAAGCACTCATTCACACCTTCACATTACTGTGTGCTTTCAGTTCTTGCCTTGGACTCAGTGCAAAATAACACCCAGTTTTAAAGGGACTGGAGTAGGTTTTGTAGGCTAATGCTTGCTGATGTGCAGGAGCACACACCTTCTGCCTGTAGCTGCTTTGGTGCCAGAAAACAGAAGGTTTTAAAATCCCAGCATGAAGAGCATATATATGGAATGCCTGTGTTCCCTTCTTCATCAGAGGGTGGAGAATTACACCAAAGAGCTCTGCAAAATCTAGATTTCTTCCTTATAAAACTGCAGTACAGGAATGAAACAAAGTATGGAAATATTTTAAGAAACAACACATGGATTTTTTTTCTCCTAGAGATGGAATTTCTCAGGAATTCTCACTGTGACGCTTCCCCATTCACCTCCCTTCAGCTTGGTGCATTGAAGAGGAGGAGCTCAGAGGGACAAAAAGCTTTGCTTTGCTCCCCTCTGCTGCCTGGACTCTGCAGGAGTGGGCCCTTTGTAGTTCCCAGTGTGGCTTCTACCCCCACTGCTTGCTCCCAGTGCTGCTGTCTGGCCAGCTCCTTTGCAGGTTTTAGCACTGATTATTGTCAGCTCCAAATTCTCAGAGTTTCCTCTGTTGCTATGTAAAAAGAAAAGGCACACAGAGATGAGATTTGTATAAACCTGCTCTGTGATTTGGGATCTGTTTGATTGGTGGTGAGACCAGTGCTGGTGCAGCTGAAGCCGTTTTCAGCCTTTCTGAGCACATCTAACTCCCATATGTTCTCATAAATTCTAGAGTATTTTCCTGTCTTTTTTAGCACACTTGTTCTATTTGTGATGCTGCCTTAACGTGTGTGTCACTTGGTGCCATTCCTGCCTTCAGTTCTTTCATGCCATGCTCAGACCTTGGCCAGTTTCATCCCACCTCCCCAAAAAATCCTCCTCCTGGGCCTGCAGCACAGGGACCTTCAAGGAGGGAGGGGGAAGAAGTGACAAGAACAAAACACAGCAGGACCATCAAGGCCCATGATGCCCTTCCACACTTCTCTGTGATGTTGCATCATCTCTAAAAATAGAACTTAAGGTCAATTGGGAATCACAACTCATCCTTAGTTCTGTGAAGTACCCCATGGGTCTGGAGTTTTGCTTTAAAAAGCCATGGATGAGATAGAAGGGTCAGGATTAAGATGCTTTTTTTCCCTTGTTCTCACTAGTAGTTCTACTTCTCAGTGCTGATGATCAACTTGAGAAGGTCCAAACCAAGTTGCCCATTGCTTCTCAGAGCTCACATGAAAGGAGAAGGGAGATCACAGGAGCCTGAGGTATCACAATGAAGGGGGATTTGGGTAGAAGTACCTGGTCTGCCCAGCCTGGATGCTTCTCACCTCCCAGTACCTTAAACAAATAGAAAAATAACAGCATGAGTAATTAAACCCAGAGAAAACAGGCAGGATCAACTGATTGATATTTTGATGATAAATCAAGTAAATTGACACAGGTAGGAGTGCAAAGCAGAGCTCAAAGGATGATCTGTTTGAATTGCAGTCAATTTGAAACAGCATCTGTTGCCTTCTTGGGTCAAACTGAACATGTCTGTGTCTGGGATTTTTTCAGAACTGACTCACTAAGACCCTTCAGGAGGAGTAAAATACTAAAACTAAAAGGTTCTATGAAATTTCAGGCTAAATTTTGGACTACAAGGGATTGTAGAAGACCATTGTTCATGTTTTGTGGAAGCTCAGGTGGCTACCTGGGACATCCTCCTGCCTCATGGCTGTGCCATTTTCTCAACTGGGGACTAGGATAAAGGTTTGGCTTCAACTTCCTCTCCCCAGTGGGTGTTACTCTTCTGCAATTTCCAGAAAATGGCAGGAAAAATCCAATCTGTGCTCAGGAGGAGAGAGCTGGAATGTTAGGTAACATGACAAAGGCACAGCAGGAGGACCAGAACCGACAGTGAAAAGCAAGTCTGCAGCTCTGCCTGTGAGTGAAGTTTCTCTTCAGTCAATATTTCACTATGTGAGCAGTTTATTCTGAACAAGGAACATCTCTGAAATGGTGCAGAAAGTTTTGTCCTGCCAGGAGCAGGGGGTATGTGACCACATGGCCACCTTGGTGTCATGAGTCAGAGTGCTCCCACACAGAGCAACACCAGTGTGGAGTGATGCCCACCCGGAAAATCCATCCCTGGGGGATCGACAGGGATCATTTTTGTGATGTTTCTTTTCCATCTACATGATGTAGAGAAGCATTTGACAAATGATGGTGGCAAGTGTGATGCTGATGATAAAATGCACAGGAACCGTTTTGTGCTAACCTGTGAAATCTCTGGAGTTCTCGAAAATTTCCTCCTCCCTTCCACTGGAATGAACTTTAAGAAATCCCATCATTGATGGCTCTGATTTATGTAGAGTAATTGTTGGGGTGCTACAGGTGCTCAGTTCCTTCACAGACATGGCATCTCCTCCAGGATAACCCCACCTCATGGGACATCCAAGGTTTTGGGGGTCTGCCATGCCATCTCCCTCAGGATAACCCCTCCTCACGGGGCAGCCCAGGGTTTTGGGGGTCTGCCATGCCATCTCCCTCGGGATAACCCCTCCTCACGGGGCAGCCCAGGGTTTTGGGGGTCTGCCATGCCATCTCCCCTGGGATAACTCCTCCTCACGGGGCAGCCCAGGGTTTTGGGGGTCTGCCATGCCATCACTGCTCTCCATAACACAGCGAGGGGCACAAGCAGGAGGCCAAGATTTGATGAGGCAGAAGGGTTTTGGGGGATTGCCATGCCAGCACTGTTCTCCATAACACAGCGAGGGGCACAAGCAGGAGGCCGAGATTTGATGAGGCAGAGCTGAGGGAGATCACAGAACCACAGCATCAACGAGGTCGGAAAAGGCCTCAGAAATCAGCGAGTTCAACCCCAACACCACCTGGTGAACCCGACCACGGCACTGAGCGCCACGTCCACTCTTCCCCTGAACAGGGACAGGGACTCGCAGCCTCCCTGGCCTGCACGTTTGGTCAGGAAGGCGTATGTGCAAAGAACAGCGCGTGGGGCACTGGAGGGGCACTGAGGGGGCTGTGGAGGTGGCCCAGCGGCTTTGAGGAGATTTAAGACGTGAGGGGGGCAGGGGGTGGCTGAGGGAGGTTCAGCTCGGGAAGGGCGCGGCGCGCGGAGCGGCGCGGGGCGCTGAGGGCGGCCGGGCGGCCATTTTGCGAAGGACAATGCCCGCCGCGCGGGGCGGGGCGGGGGCGCGCGCACGCAGCGCGCGAACGCGCCCGGGGGGGGAGGGGAGAGCGCGGCGGGTGCGCGCACGCACAGCCGCGGGGCCGCGCCTTGCCCCGTGCGTGCGCGCTCCCGGCCCCCCCCGCCTTCCCCTCTCTCTGTGTCCCTCTCTCTCCCTCTCTCCGCCGCGCTCGGCCGGCTCTGCCCCCCCTTTGTGCGCGCTCCGAGCCGCCCCCGCATCGCCGACTCGCCATGGCCGACGAGAAGCCCAAGGTGAGGCCGGCGCGCTCCGCAGCTCCCGCCGCCGCGCTCGGCCCCTCAGGCGGCGGCCCCGGCCCGCAGCCCCCGCGCCGCCTTTGCGCGCCATTTTCCTGCGCGGGTGGGGGGGGCCGAGGCCGCGGCTCCCGGGCGGGCGGGGGATCCCCGGGGAGAGGGGGAGCGAGCCCGGGCCGCCTTCCCGCCCTCCGCGGGGAGAGAGGCAGGTCTGGAGGCGGTTGCTGCTGCCTTCCTCCTCCTCCTCCTCCTCCTCCGCGGCCGCAGCATCCCCGCCGGCCGCCGCGGCCGCCGCTGCCCTCACGGTCCCCGCTCGGCTCCGGCCCCTTTGTGCCGCCTCTGGCCCCGCTCGGGGCCGGGGGGGCCGCGGGGGCTCCGCTCCGCACGGCAGGAATTAACAGAGGCCACCGCCGGGGGGGTTGGCTTTTTTTTTTTTTTTCCCCTTTTTTTTTTTTTTTCCCCCTCCCCCTTCCTTCCCCCTTTTTTTTTTTTTTTTTCCCTTCCTCCCCCACACTATTTTCAAACCGAGTTCGAAGTGGCGGAGGGCGCGCGCGGGCTGACACATGGCGGGAGCCGGCTCCCAAAAAGAGGGAAAACAAAGCTGGAACTGGGGGTGCCGGACAGCGGGACAGCCCCGATCCCCGGCCCTCTGCCCCGAGGCCCGGCCAGAGCACGAGGGACCGAGCTGGAAGTTGATCCTCCGCACTTTTCCTCTCCGGGAGGGTCGGGCTGCTTGATGCGGAGTTTTTTTAAACATTTTCTGAAGGAGAAAACCTGGGCTGTTTCAGGTTTTATCACCGTTTGAAACATAGCCCTTTAAAGTATCTGGAAAGTTGTTTTTTTTAATAAGGACATCAAACGGTAGGAAAAAGTTTGAGGTGCAGTGAGAAAGAGCCTTGCTGCTGGTTGGGAGCACAGTTATAACTCAAATCAGCTACAACAGATCATAGTTATAACATAGGTAACTTAATTCCATTCAGTAGAAACACTGCTGTTGCATATTGTTGTGCTTCTGATAGAAATAACTTCTTTTTCTTTTTTTAAATTTTTTTTTCTGTGTTGAATGCCTGGCTTGGTAATTCTTCATTGCTAAATTTCCAGTCTGCAGAATGACAGTTAATATAATTTTTTTTTAATGTGGCTTTTCTTCCTTTAAATTTTCAACTGAAAATTGCTGACCTTTATTCCCTAATTCAAGGTTTCAAGTCAGTAAACAGCTTTAATATCTTTATTTCCTCCTTTTCAATAACCTGTTGCACTTTGGTAAAATGTTAACTTCTCGTTTCATACCTTTTTTAAAAAGTGTTGGTTATTTTTTTTTTCTTTTATTTCCTCCACAGGAAGGAGTGAAGACTGAAAACAATGACCACATTAATCTGAAGGTGGCAGGGCAAGATGGGTCTGTGGTGCAGTTTAAGATTAAGAGGCACACACCACTTAGTAAACTAATGAAAGCCTATTGTGAACGACAGGTATGATCTCAGGAGAACTGTCTGGGGGAGAGCTGCTCTCCACAGGGATAGAGGAAAACAGTTCGAGTCTTAAAACTTAAGTAAATACACAAAATGATAGAGGTGGAACAGAAACTAACTGTGCTGTGAAGTGTATTGTCCTTGGGGTCTGTTACTGGGTGGATTTGAGAGGGTTGTGGCAGGAAATGGGTGAAATAAAGATCTGCTGTCATCTATGAAATCTGCATTTATAGGTGGAGGCCTCTGGGAGGTAACTGCTGCCCTAGTGCTTAGAAATATTGGTGTGGAAAGGGTGGGTTTGGGATAACTTTGGGAAGAGAGAGTTAAATGATAATCAGGGATTTTTATAGCTCTGAGTGACTTCTTGGACTGGTCATTGGCTCCTGATTTATTAGCTTAATTGTACTGAGATGAGAAGATGCCTTGAGAAGGAGCTTGTACATTTAATGATGAGCTTTGTGTTTTCTCTTGTGTCCTGGCTGACAAACGAATATTCTGAGAGACACACACACCCCATGTATTTGCTGATGTGGTGGCAGCTGCAGCCACTCTGTGAGGCTGCAAGCAGCTATTGCAAGTTTTAAAAACACCTGTTTGAGTAGAGCCATGGAACTCCTCCTTCTGAAGCTCCTGATTAGGGAAATTTTAGTATCCACAATATTTTTTAGTGACTGTCTGCCTTCAAAAAAAGTTCTATCTCTACAAAACTGTTCAGAATTTGTGAATTTTTAATTTTTTTAAACATAAACACTCAAGAATACTATTGACTACAATAAAGTCAGTGTAAGATCTTGGTGCAGCTATTTCATCACCAGGAAAAACCCTGTGGTTCACGTAGAGAGTGGTAGAACCTCTTTCATTTGCCCTGTGCCACAACAGAATAAGAGGAAAGACAGGAAAAATTAGCTCTTGCTGAACATGTGAATGTGTTCTTGTGTGAGTGTTCTGTGGAGAAATTAGTGAATGTTGGAAGCTGTGAGTTTGTTTTTCCTACCTCAGTCGTACAAACTCTTGTTCTAGTTTTCAAATCACTGTGTTGCTTTTTCCAGGCATAGAGTGCAGTTATATCTTTCAGGGAATTTGAGGATTGGTTATTTGTCTGTAAAGTCCTGGCATAAAAATATTTTAAAGTATTAATTCTTAGTTACTTTGAAGCAAGCAATAGTCCAAATTGTCTTAGATTGCCAAAATGTTTACTCTGCTTAAAGAAAAACAAAACCAAAGCCAGCAAAAAAAAGCCCCCAGGTATCAACTGGAGGAAAAACATCAGTAGATGTTGAGAATGGGAGACATTTTTTTGGATCTTAGTTTTAAGCTAGTAAGTATCCAAAGAATACTTTTGTGGATGTGGATTTGTCTTTAGGCACTTGCTTCGGAAATTTTGCTGAATGTTCTTGAACAAAAACCATTTGTTCTACATGTCTCTAAAAGTTAGATTTTTTTCATGTATTATTTACCTAGCTAGGTACATCCCAACATAAATCTGTAATTTTGGAGAGGTGACAGAGAACTTAGCAGCTATAAAAGATAATAATCATGTGTTGTGTGTAGTAGATCTAAAATGGAAGTAACTAAATTTGAGTGACCTGTTGAGAAGATCAAGACTATTTGTGATTAAGTGGTAAAAAAATCATCCATGGACCACACTTCATGTTTTGTGTATGCTAAGCTCACCAAAGGACAGTTTTTCAGTATGTTTGAAAAAATCATCCATGGACCACACTTCATGCTAAGCTCACCAAAGGACAGTTTTTCAGTATGTTTTTAGCTACCATTTATTTAGCTCATAAAGTTGTCATGAACCTGGACAAAAACAACACTCTGGGAATAGGAAGTACATGTTTCAAGAAGCAGTGTCAGGGAAAAGGGCTCAAACCAAATGTTGCTGTGCAGAAATGTGTTGCTGCCATGAGACTGAGCCACACACTTCCTTAGACCAGATGATGTTCTGAGTGAACACTGCAGTGTCTTGATGCTGGAGAAAGCATTTTTTTGTGAACCATAAAGTTAATAAAAAAAGTTTACTCACATTTATTAAAATATTTTTCCTGACAAATCTACTCCTCAGAAATAATTACTACATTGTTTTCTGTTGTGTGTGACATCCGCTCTTGCCAGGCTGAATGAAGGATTCTCTTCTAACTCAAAGATGCCAAAGCACGACCCTGCAATCCACTGGATTGGCTTCAAAAGCAGATTGGGCTCTTGGATAGTTAGATACTCTGGAGACAATGGATAGAACTGGAAAGGAAGTTTGTATCCCCAGATGTCACTGGCAAAATACCTGTAAAATACCTTGGAAAACTCACTGCTGATTTTGGATCTGATGTTATCAGAAGGATAGGTTGGTTGTTACTCCCAAGTTACATTTTTCAGTCTGTTGGCTCGGGTGAGGATGAGAGATATTCTTCTAGGGATGGAAGAGGTCAGTAAAATGGGTGTTGTGTGGTAGAAATGCTTATCCAAAATACTGGCTAATTTCTGGAAGTAGAAAATTCTTTTATTTTTTCCATCTGTGCATGGAAAAAATTGATACATTGATTTCTTTAGAATAGGAACTGGAGATCAAAAAGTTCCCATTTTTTACTCTTACCTGCTGCAGACTAATTTTGTTGTTGCATTTCTGGAAGAAATATTTGAGAATACCTTTGTTTTTGGGGAAGATGAAAAGGGAGTGTTGAGTGTCATTGTTGGACATTTATTACTTAGAGTGTTGCACCTAGTTTTTAAGTGAATTACTCAAAAGCACAATAAACCTGCCTGCCTTTGGGGTGTAGCAGAAGTGGCTTTATTTTAACTTAGTCAGTGGGGGCACTGTTGCTTCTCGTGAGTTGTTGGACACAATGCAGTGTTTAATACAAAACAGATTGCAGGGATTTGGAGTGAAATGCCTAAAAGTCAAGGCATGAGGGAAGGATGGAATCTCTGGTGGTTTTTAATGATGATGCTGCAATTCAGTGACGAGTTCAAGAGTAAACTACTGAGCACTTTTACACCAGGTTTATTTCCCTTTGTGTTATTTCTCTTTGTCCAGGGGTTGTCAATGAGGCAAATCAGATTCCGGTTCGATGGGCAGCCAATTAATGAAACAGACACACCTGCACAGGTAAACAGCACAAGCAAGGCTAAAGAACTGGTTGAAATTTGCTGCAGGAGTTGATGATTCTGTTTCCTATCAGATACTTATGTAAATGTATATATTACTGATGGAACTGGGTCTTTTTTACCATTATTTTGGTGTAACTACTTTAGGATGATTAGAAATGGAATCCAAGCCTTTTGGTGTTTTGAATAACAAATCTGTATCACTGTAATAATAAAACAGAAATATTAAGTACAGTGTACAGATGGCGAGTCCTGTAAAACTTTATTGATTCATGGCTCTGAGATAAGGATGGTAAGTTAAGAATTGAGTTTTTCTTGAAGCAATGGCTTTATTTTTTATATAAAAGCTTGCCAGGATGTTATCAGAGAGATCCTGTTTGCAAGCTTGCATTTGTAATACAAAAGTAATTTCTGTTGTTTGTGATCTGAAGCTGTTTCAGTAGCACGGAATTAATGAATATGGTGAAGTTTGGGTTGTCTGTAAGTATTTGAATGAAGGCATTCCAGGAACAGAATGGTTCCCTGTGGCCCTGGAGCATTTTTCTGTCCTGCTCCACGGAGCTGTGTTTAATCAGCCTGACCAAGTGATAGTTTTATCTGCTGTTCAGAGCCACTTGTAATGAAATAACGGACTTCAGTTTTCAGTTCTGAATTTTCCAAGCTGTTGCTTCAAAGATTGTGCCTCTTGTGGCCCCAGTCTGTGGAACCTTTTAATTTGCAATACTGATAATTGAGGCAACAGGATGATTTTTCTTTTCTATCCATGTTTTGCTGAAGCTTAGACCAGTCTGCTTATAGCTGTGCTAAATAGCATAACTAGTTTGATTTCCTGACCAGCAACTGAGTCTGTTTAGAAATATGACTTGAATTAGTTACAGCAGCCCTTCAGTTTTGGTACAGATTTTGTCAGTAGGTGCCATTGACATCCCAGGAATATCAACTGTAAAACTTAGGGTAAAAAAAGAGAATTATGTTAATGAAGTATTGCTGTTCTTCACTGGCAGTTGTTACATGGTTACATGCCAAGTGTTTTTAATTTTTTTGTGCTTGCTGATCCTTGATTTTACTGCCTGGTTGGGCAGAGGCTTTAATTCCAGTCTGCTTCTCCATTGCTGTAACCATTTTAGCAACAGCAGCCAACTGGAATTGTGGCAATGTTTTAAGGTAAACTGAGGGAGTAAATAGGAGAACAAAGGTGCAATGGCAGAGCAGGCAACAGAAATCAAATATTACCAATCTGTTTCTTAGGAGTCACACACTGTACCCTGAAGTTAGTACTAGAATTCATTCTAGGTCAACAGTTATCAATTGGCATTTTTTTTTCCTGTGCAGTTTCTTTGCTTTTGAGTTCAGTGAGTTTTGTTAAATGTATAAAAGGGTGGTGGTGAAGGGGAGTGGGACTTCTCTGGTTAAGTTGCATAAAAAGTAAACATAGTCAGGAGCTGTAAGAACAACCCAGGCTGCTGTGGAGATGTGAGTAGAGTTGAAAGCCCTTTTTTCTTTTTTTCTGCTGTAGTTGGAAATGGAGGATGAAGATACAATTGATGTGTTCCAGCAGCAAACAGGAGGAGTTTACTAAAACAAACACACAAAAAAGAACCTGCTACTTTCCTCTCCAGAACTGTGCTCCCACAGGCGACACTTCACAATTAGAAAAATGAGACTTGGTTCAGCCACATCCTGACTACTGCAGTATAGTTTTCTCTCTTCTCTCTGATTTTTTTTCTTATTCCTTTTATTGTACATAAAGTAACTGGTGATGTGCACAGGCATAATGCATATTTTTTTTTAACTAAATGGCCAATGGTATGTTTTGATCAACATTTAATGGAGATGGGGTGGGAAAACAAACTGGTTCTGTGAAAATGCCCCTCTCTCCATTAGTGGCATGCTCCTTCTACTTTTACAGAATCACAGAATAAGCCGAGTTATCTTTATATTCCAGTAAGTTATTTTGCTCTCACTGTTCAAAAACAAAAACCTTGCATACCTTGTTTGATTGGATAATTTCAATGTTTTTCTTTTATCATTGTAAAACCAAGGGCAATTTTATAACTTTTTTGTACGTAGCTGTTACATGTAGAGCAATCTCTGTCTAAGTAGGGGTAAATTACTCTTTAAAAAAAAAAGGAAAAAAAAAAGTCCTAGATAGTTTTCCCTTCAAGTAAAACGTCTTGTTGTTTAAATAAACTTCTTGTTTAAAATAACCAGTTTTCTTTCTTTTTCTGTGGAGTAATAGTACTCAGCACCTGTATTTCTTTCTCTGCAGCACTTTATGCTTCTCAAATCTCAGCTTTCTCTGTGGTAAGTAAGCATAATCCCCCCTATCTAGGCAGGAGACTGTTAACAAAGGAAAGGCTTCCTTGAGGTCTGTCAGTCAGCAGTTGAACTGGAAATAGAAGTCAGTTTTCTCTTCATTTGATTTATTTTTATTTTTTTGTGAATGTTCTGCTAAGCCAAAACTGTTTGATTAGTCAAACTGCAAAATACTGAACTACTTAGTAATGCTTTTGGGTTGAGCTCTTCTTGTCACTCTTTAATAGAAGCATCAAAATTGTTGTTGCAGTAGTTTATTTAAGACTCTGTATTTGAATGCTTATTGATGTAAACATCAAGTTAAAGAGAGCAAATAATTTCATTAACCGTTCAGTTTACCATGGTATCAAATGGGAGCTGCTTGGAAATGTAAAGCAAAAATAAAAAATTGAGTTCTGTTTTTGGGTGTATTTAGCTATGGTGATGGAGATTCCAAGCTCTGCTTTACCCCACTGTGCTGTTCTGCTTGGAAGAGGGAACGAGGCTGGAAGTACTGAGGGAGGTACAGTGATGGTGGTGTTTTTCACAAGTCTTTTTCACGATTCTTGAGTTCTTGGGGAACTTTTGGGGGGAGTTTAGAGGTTGGAGTGAAATCCATGGATGTTCATGGAAGATTATATACCTGTCAAACCCACAGCCCCACAGCATTCTCTGATGTCCTAGGAATGTTCCAGTATTTTATGGTAAGTTCATGGTTTTTTAGGTATAAATTTCTTTGAAGAGGCCACTATTGGTGGTGTTTTTTGTAACAGTTAATTCAAGGAGTGATTATTGCACGTGGGGCCTGTGGCTGCTTGAGCTGAAAGTTTTGTGGCAGAATGATGGGTGTGTGCATTTAGCATTTAGTTGTGATCTATTTGTCTTCTGTCAGAAATAACACATTTGATGCTACATTAGTTTCATCTAATGGAGATACAGGGAAAATTAACATCTGTTTTTGCAGTTGCACTTGAGTCTGTAGCTGAAGAATGTGATCTACTGTGTACCTTTGTTTTAATTCAAGGAAAGGCTATTGCCAAGCACATTACTTCTCATTGTGGGATGTATCTTGTAGACTTCTGTGGTGTTTTGCAGGATTGAAATTCCTTCTTGTGAACAAATGTTTACATATCCAAGTCTAAAAGGCCTAGAAAAATCTACTTTGAAGAAGAGGGTGGTGGGGGAATATATTTCAACATCTGTCCTAGGTTACACGTGGAATACATTGCTCTTTGGCTTTAGAATCTCTGGCTTTTAAGCTGGCTAAACTTTCGATATCGGTGTACAAAATTCTTTCAACTTGATGTCATGCCAAGACTTTTCCCAGGAGAAAGCTGTCTTTATCTTGTTTGGCCAAAAAAGGTGTTTGGACTTGCTTTAGTTTCTGAAGAAAGGGTGAGGTCTCCTTCAATACAATTTTTTTTCAGCTCAACTTAATATTGTGAAGCTCAAAGCTCCCTGTTGTATCTTGCCTTGTACTTTTTATTTCCTGAGGCAACAGACGTCAAGTGACAGATACTGAAGAGCTTTTAAAAACAATGTCTTCATTTCCTGAATTAGTTGAGTGTTACTTCATCTGTCATGAACTTATGTGCAGCATTCACCTACATTTCTCCACTTTTCATCTTTTTGCTGTTAACCTGGGCTTGCTTATGTTCCTGAAATGATTCTTTAACAATGCTGGATGGTGGTGTTAGGTGGTGACTCCAGCCAAAAAAAGTGTTAAATAGTCTTTTCTGATACAGTGTCTTGTTTTTTTAATCTAATCACAAAAACATCTCAACTTCAGTGACTTAGTTCCTCAAGAGCCTCAAATGTTGAATTTCCATTAGTGCAGCAAATGTGTGATTTCTGGTTCTGATATATAACACTGTTGGTGTAACAGTAATGCAGAAATACAGTCCTTTTTTAAAAAAAGAAAGAAAATTAGCACTCTTTCTGCGTGATCTTGCAAATACTCTATGTCAGAACTTGTTTTTGTCTGTACTGCTCTGGTGCTACACATTTACCTGTGGATTCCTGATTGCTGGAATCCTCTGTGGTTTTACTGTGACTGTCTCTTTTAGGGAAGCTGCTGCTGGGGGTGAGGATTTGGAAGTGCTGTGGAGTACAGGGATATGAGCAATTTGAATCAACTTATTTGGGGTACACTTTGCTGCTTGGTTTGGTTTGTTCCTGGTTTACACTTGTAGCCACATGGACTTCTGGAAGTCCACTTGTTGGAGGATAAAGGAAAACTGGGCAAAGAGGTCTTGTCAGGCTAGTTGGGAGGTAAGGTTTATTAAACAGCTGGGATCTTTCAAGAGCCTGGGAGAATTACATTATTACCCACAATTTTCAAATAATGTGTTCTGAAGTGATTGCCATGCAATTTAGTTAATATTTCTCCCATGGTTTTTAAATGAAAAAGAATGGAGTAAGTTATAACTGGATACAGTCCCCTGGTGAGTTCTGGTGGATGGCTGGACCCCTTCAGCCTGTGCTGAGGTTTTAGTCTTTCAAATGAGTTGTGAACATGACCAGCTATTTAAAAATAGGTAACCAAACTTCTGTCAGGTACCTTAGGTAAGGCATTTTTATTCATGTGCAGGGGAGGTAATGTCAGATGGGAATCACAGCTGGCTTGGGTGCCTGACACCAATCAATGGCTTTGTTTATCTGCACAGTGGGGATCACAGCCACCCCAGGGGGCTCCTCTGGGGGTCAGTGGCCCGAGGGTGCTGATTCAAAAGGGGATGAGGAGTGCAAAGCTGCTCTGACATGGAATCTTCCAGGCTGCCAGGCCTGTAAAGAAATACTCCAAATGGTAACATGAGAGAGATTCTTGTGCTGGCATATGGAGGTGTTTTTAACAAAGAAAAATCCCTGAAGTAACACCAAGATAATTGCTGCTTCAAGATAACTGCAATATCAGAACAGAGACAGCATCTCTGCAAGGGTTAAGGTCAAAGCATGTTGGTTTTCCAGCAGGAATTTTCCTTTCTAGTACCTTCACTTCATTACTTCCGAGTCAGTGTAACGTAAGTGCTGTCGTTTGCCTGGTGGGTGCTGGTTCTATTGTGTCTCTTACTGCAACATTAATGAAAAGGCATAATGTGACTGGCTGAAAGAGAGACTTCCTAGGCTTCAGCCAGCTGGAAGTAACTGAATTTCTAAGGAACAGCAATTTGTTTTCAAAGCTAAAGATGAAAAGATGCCTCCTTGGTCATCATGTGAACAATAAATCCAAGTATTTTTCTTAGAATTTTAGGTAGTGGCCTCTTCTCAGTACAAATGTGTCAGCTGCTGTGATGGACTCTTGTGGAGTATTAATCTAAAAGCATTTACATAAGTTGGGTTATTATTAATTATATTAACAGCATAATTAATATGTTTAATTCTCTGGTTTATTGAGGTTTGTTCATTCTGCCTGTAATGAGTTTCCAGACAATGTGTTCTGATAGGGAATAATCAATCCTTCAGTTTGTCTTGCTTTTTTAGGATGTAGTGGCAGAAGAAATTGGTGATCCAGCACTTCTGGGTGATTAGGATGTAGGAGTGTGAGGATAAATGGAAGATGGAATTTTAATCCCTATTCTTAGTTTTGATTGACCTCCCAGATGTTTAATTCCAGGGGTTTCCTGGTTTCTTCCCTAGCAGCATGGGAGGTGATGTCACTGTAACATGGAGGTGTGGGGAGCCCCACCCAGGTGTTTGTGGAGTGGTTGAAGTCCCTGTAAGGGAAGAGTTTTCCCTGGTCCTGGAAGGATTTCAGTTTGCAGGGCAGGTGGTGCTGGGGAAGGACTGGCTGGGTGTCAGCTGAGATCCCAGAAGGGAAGGTCAGCAGGTGAAGGACAGGGGATGTGTGTGAGTCAGTGAGGAGCTGCAGTGGGCAAGAGCTGGGTTTAAATAATCCCTGTGTGAGGATGACTTTGCAGTACTGGGGAAAGGCTAAGCCCAACTAGCAGAGTTTCTCCCTTGGAAAGGAATATTCTTCAGGGAAGCATGGATGCAAAAGATACCATTTGTGGTGAATTTTGTGCTGGTTTTGGTGGTTTAGATCTCCCCCTGTCAGCACCCAGTCAAGCACATCTGATTCCCTGCAAGGGCTCTTGAAGGATCACTTAAATAAGAAAACTGAAACAAAACAAGACTGGGACACTGACTTCCCCTTCCAGCAACCCCTGCCTTTTCCCAGTCAGGAGGAACACTTTGGAGTGCACGACCAGGCTTGGTGGTGTTGGATGTCCAGACAAGAACAGCAGCATGAATTGGCCACTCTGCTTTTTGTATTGTTCAGAGCTACATCTCCACAGCTTTGAGAGGAGTCTGGGCACTGTGGTGCAATTCCCCATCCCAAACACTGACAGGCTGTTGGGAACTTTTCCTGAAGATGCAGAGAGGTACCAGAGCAACTCTCACAACTCTTGCAAACAACAGCATCAGCTCTGTGGGACAAACCATTGGATCTTAGGATCCATGTTCCACTGAACCTCCAGGCATCACTCCAGATGCAGAAATGTGACAGGGGAAAATCCAGCTGTGGCAAGGGTTGTTTATTAGCTGGCACTTCAGCTGTGAATGAAATGGGGCAAGAGAAAACTGAGTCAAACCCTCTTTTTTGTGCCTTGTGCCTGGAATAAAGGAGGGATGCTCTCTGTGGCAGCCATAAGTAGCAGAGACTGGCATGAAGAAACCCTTGGTCACAGGAGGATGACCAAGCTGAGGCTTTCCTCAGACCAATGGTATCCCTCCTTGCCCAACCCTTGCATTTCCTGGAGTCTTGTTCAGACTTCCAGAATGCACAATACATGGTGCATTCCTTGCTGGTGGAATTTCAACAACAGGTGGAATTGTTTGGTGTCTGAGTGTTCCAGACAGCTGCTGAGAATTGTTCTGGTCAAGTGTCATCATCCTGTGATGGACTGTAAGCCCAGTTTCTGCAGCCATCTTCATAAACTATCCATCTTGTAATGGATGGATAATCAGAAAAGCAGCTTTTATGTCAGGTCACCCTGCAGCCAGGCCTGTGAGAGATCAGGGGGGCCCCTTGGAAACACTAAAGTTTTAGAATTCTAGAGCTCTGTGTGAAAACCTGTGTCATAGGGAACGGGTTTTTCTTCATCTTGACTTTAAAAAGTGGCTCTGTGTGTGTCTCAGGGGTATAAATTAAAGAGTAAAATCCTGTGGGTTTGAATAAGAAGCATTTAGATGACAAAATACTTCTGCAGGTTCCTGAGAGAGCAGATGTTTACCTGTGTGCAGGTAGGTATCATTTGACTTCTTAATGCCCACGCCTAAGGCATAATAGAATTAAAACAACTGTGTCATGTTGCTTAAAATTTCCCTTTAATCTATCTATAAAAAAAATATGATGCAACAGAGAATTCCCTGGGGATCTAAATAGTGGTTGGAGCTTTAAAAAAAACCCCAACAAACCAAAACAGGATTTTTTTAATGGATCCTAGATTAGAAAAAATAATACACTAGTCCTGTTTGTGTACATTTAACAGTTATTATCTTTCATGATCTGTACTAATATTAGGGCTGGTGTTTAATTCAGATGCTGGACAACTCATGTTATGTAACAGAATCCTTGTGTTCTCCATACCAAAAAAATACTTTTCTCCAGAAAGTGTTTTGGGGGTATTATGGGCTGTTATTAGTGGAAACTGGGAGGGGTAGCTGGAAAAGATGGATTTTCTTTCCCCTTTCTCCCTCCTTTATGCAAGTGCTCATTGAAATAATATCGCTGATGCATAGGTTTTGGAGTAAAAATTGTGATCTGTGTCTGTGGAAGTTTCAGGGAGCCCCCAGTCACGAAATCAGAGGTGGATGTGACAGATGGGTCAGCGGCCAACATGTGGTCATTTAAAGTGAGTTTGCTGCTGGGGCTGGGGGGAGATGCACCATCCAAAACGTGCAGCCTCGTGCCTTGGACACCCGGGCGAGCACCATTGCTGGGCCCTGTACTGCAGCTGCCCTAGCCCTGCTGCAACTCAGTTTTCATGGAATAATCCGAAACAGTCAACTGAAAATTATTTTATTCTGCCACGATTGCTGAGGTGTGGCCCCGCAGGCCCTTGGCTGTGTCCCAGCCCTGCTCGGATCCAACACCTAAAGCCACATCAGCCTTGTGCCAACCCCTCCCTGCGCTTCGTGCCGGTACCTTGGAGCTGCTCCATGACAGCTGCGGGGCCGGGCACGGCGGTGCGTGTGAGGGAGCCGGGCCTTGCGCGGCCGGGGGGTGCCCGGGGTGGATTGGCGGTGTGTCTGGGCGGTGTGTGTGGGGAGCGGAGCCCGCGGAGCCCCCGGCCGGCCAGCCCCTCCCGGCCCCTCACGGGGGCAGCGCCGCGGGACTTTTGTCTGGCCTCAGGTGCGGCTGAGCCAATCGCGGCTCGCCGGCGGTGAGCGACAGCTCCTCGGCCAATCACCAATAACAGGTGTCACCGCCCGCAGCCAATCACCGCAGAGCAGACGTAGTGCTTCACCAATGGGCTCTTAGCGGTGAGGCAAGGCGCCTCAGAATAGACAGGGAGGCGGGGCAAATGGGAGACTGGCAGGGCGCTGTCCAATAAGAGCTCGCGACTACGTTTGAACCGCCCAATGAGCGGGCCGAAGGTGGGCAAGGCTTGCGGTGTGTATAAAAGTCGCGGCGGTGCGGGCGGCGGCCGCAGTTGTCACCGGTGGCGGCGGGGACTCTGGGCAGGGGCAGCGCTGTCCCCGGGACCGTCACTGCACAGAGCCCTTCCCTCGCTCCGACCCCTCCGCCATGACCACCACGGCCACGTTCTCGGGCATGGACCCCAATGGCAGGAACAGCTCCAGGTCTGGGGGGGCTCCAGGGCCGCCGGGACCCAGAGGGCGGTGGGGCTGAGGGTCCCGGGCAGGGCATGCCCGGAGCGGCTCCGCAGCGGTGTGGGGCGCGGTGCCGGGCGGGGCCTCCGGCCGGGCCGGGGCTGTGGGGATGCCGCTCCTCCCGGCCCCTCCCGGGCTGGCCGGAGGCGGGGGGCCCCGCTGCCGGGGGCGGCCCGCGGCTGGAAGGGGCGGGGGCGAAGCGGAGCCCGTGTGCGAACAAAGAAAACTTGGCAGGTTGGTCTGGAGGAGATGCGCAGCGCCAGGTCGGGCGCCCGCGGTCTCGGGAGTCACAGCTGGGTAGGATCGTGTGGCTTTCCGCGCTGTCGTGGCTTTTTTCTGTAAGGTTTTGGCCTGACAAAGCGGATGCTTCCTGTTCCCTTTTAATGCTTTATAAAGCGAAAAAAAAAATCTCTACAAAGCTCATTTTCAAACCTTTTGCCAGAGCTCTTCCTGGAGCTGTGGTTGGATTTTCGGTGGACATCACTGGGTATCAGGTGGAATTTTAACAGCATTTCTTCATTGCTTGAAGTGTTAAACATGGCTTTCATAAAGCAGGTTACAGCATTTTGAGGCTGTGAGAAGCTTCTAATAAAATCTGTCAGCCTTTAGTTGAGGTTGGTAAAAGGGAATGTTCATTTTTAACAGTTTGAGTGATGGATATATTTTCTCCCTTCAGTTGCCTATTCTGTTAATGTCATTAAGTCTGTCAGTGGAAACTGTTGTGCCCTTAAGAGTACTGCTTTCACTGCTGTGGTAAAAAGAGGGATCTAAGGTTTGGGAACAAGCCCTGCTTTGAACAGACTGTTCTTCAGATTAGTGACTGCAACAGCTATAACTACGAAAATAAACCTTCTGTGTGTTTCCTCAGGGAAAAAAAGATAAAGGAATGATTCAAGACCATTCCACCACATCTTGATTCAGGAAGGAGACAAAACAAGTCACAATAAAACATAATCTCCAGTCTGCTGGGATCCTCCCATTAGCAGCTCAGCATCAATAGTCCTTAGAAAAATAATTTTGTTAGGAAAGGTGTTTTTCTGCTTATGTAACAGTAAATATCCATGTCACACACCTTTAGGAATCCCCCTTGCCATTGGGGTATTTGAGCTCTGTAGGCTTGAGAAGCATTTTTGTGTTGCAGCTGGAATGTAACAGGCACAAATCCTCCCAAGATGTGAGTTGTACAACTGGACATGCTCTTTGTGTTGAATTCCCAGGTTTGCAGCATTAACAAGCTGGGCACTGTTTCGTGTTCTAGCTTCATTAAATTATTTGTTAAGAAGAAGAAGAAGTGTGCACCATCCTTAGTTTGTGCTGGTGTTCATTTTGGAGTGTTGGAGGGCTTGAAAGCCCCAGGTTCTGTTGGTGTCCTCACATCTCTCTGGGAGTTTGGAAAGTTCTCTCACACAGTTTTGTTCTCCTGGCTTTTGTTTGGCTTCTCCAGCTAACAAAAGATCTCCTGCTTATGAAAATAAGATCAGGAGGAGTTTATGTTTCAAGATTTATTTTGCTGCAGCTGTTCATTTTGGTTGGGTTCTGCAGGTTGGAAAGCAGACTGCAATCAAGCTCTTGAAGTACTGAGCAGGCTTCTTTTGTGTCTAAGAGCAGATTGTTAGATTTGGGTTACATATCTGGAGCTTTGTACACGTGTCTCTCCTAATAATAGTCATCTCCGAGCTGTTTAATTTCAACTTTTACTCCTAGACCAGCAGCATGCTGCAGACTTGAGGGTTTTTTTCCTGAGGAAACAAATCTAAATAAAGGCTGCAGCACCCAGCCATCAGTGGTGCAACCAGTCCTTTGGTTCAAGCTTCAGTCTTTGCTGTGCAGCCAGTTTGATGATTAAAAATGAACCTTCCCAGGGTACTCTTAAAAAAGCTGGAATCTGACATGCCCACATAGTTATTTTTATTTTTTATTTGGCTCAGAGTGGTGGGAGCAGCCATTGGTGTGATAGTGGATGGAACAAGGGCACAAGTAGAGCACGAGAGCGTTTTATTTTTGTAAGTGCCACTGAAGAGCAGCGGAGATGCAGTGGCAGGATGGAATTCTGGCAGGAGCTTACCTGGCTGGTTGGAGTGCTGTGCTGGGGGTGCAGCTGGGGGCTGGCTCGGGTGTGAAGCTGCCTCTCTCTCTCCACAGAGTGCTGCGTCCTCCCGGTGGCGGCTCCAACTTCTCCCTGGGCTTTGATGAGCCCAAAGAACAGCCTGTGAGGAGGAACAAAATGGCATCCAGCATCTTTGGAACTCCTGAGGAGAACCCACCCTCCTGGGCTAAAGCAGCAGGTGAGGCTGTAGTGCTTTGTTTCCACATCTGCTCATGGGCATTGATTCGTTTTGTGGCTCAGCCTGATGCTGCAGGGGCTGGTGTGGAAACCAGAGTTCCCTTCCTACTTGGTACTTGGGGTTTATAAATGATGCAGACTATAAATTCTCTGCTTGCAGAGAATTGTTTATTTCTCATTAATTTCTTCCAGAAGGGTTTATTTTATGCAAGTGTTAGGCATGTTGCAAGCAGAGAATTGTATTTTGGATGCAGTTTCTCCAAGTTCAGTCACACAAGTGGACCTGAGTGTTACTGTTTGGAGTAGCACTGCTTGGTGTTGATTATTCAGAGGAAGTTTAGCCTCGTGTTCTCACAGCTGGATTTAAGCTTCCCTTTCTGCAGAGCACTGCCACTATGGGTGGCCTTGGGACCCCAAACTCAGCTGTTTAAATGACACTCACTGCAGGGGGTGCTGCTGGAAGACAATAATTAGTGAGGTATTATCTAAAGGACCAGGACTTTTTAGAATAGTAAAGCTCTAATTTCAAAGAAAAACCTCTCCTAAAGTACCCAAACCTGTGACTATTTATGATCTGCTTTCACATTAAGTTTATCTTGCAACCTGATTAGACACAATCTCTGGTTGTAGGGGCTAAGCCAGGTGAAACCAGAGACAGCTGTGAATCCTCTGGACCACAAAGAACAAACTCAACTGAGGCAAACTGTGGAGACTTCGTAGATCCCAAGGTCAGTACTTGACTACAAAGAGCCTGGTAATGGACAATTCACACTCTGTGTGGGATTGATTTATCACGGATGTTCACACAGTTGGAAGCATTGTAAGGTTTGGATCCTTTCTCTCAAATTTGGTTTTTAATGAAGGATCCCCTTTCCATCTGATACTCTTCCAGTATGCTGAGAAAGGAATGGCTGGATTTTTCACAAGGACCACTTTGTAGAGCTCTTAACCCATCTCATTGCTGAGACAGTAATGAAGTGGTGTGAAATCTAATTTCAGCTCTGTGTGTGATTGTGGGTTTAAACATCTCACAAACAACAGTTACTGCAGCAGACTCTGTGTGGGTCTGACAACAAACTTGAGTTCACATCCCAGCAAATTCTTACCTCTGTAGTTTTAGTGCTTTTTTTTTGTTTTAATAGATATGTTATTTTCTATATAAACTCTACTTAGTAGCAATATGGAGCATAATATATAGTGTTAATGGTGTTAAGTAAAATTTGCTAGATGGGTAATTAAATTTAATGGGAAAAACAGGGTTCTTTTGAATCACAGTACATTTGGTAAAAAAACAGTAATTTATCTGAACTTAGATCCCTAGGAATGTAGGATAGCCTGTATTTGCATTAACAAAGAAAAAAGAAATCTCATTTAAAACTCTTCAGCCTTAGGTTTTCTGAAAAGAACTGAGTAGATAATTATTTGTCCTGAATGTTGTAGCAGACACCTTTTATCTAGGTTTTATTTTGGTAATTGGCATCAGGCACCACAACCCATTTTTGTTATTAGTTGTAGCTTTAAGTCACAAAACTGTTATTTGTTACAAAAAAAAGTCTTGTTTCAATTTAGCAAATATAAGCGAGTTTATTTTCTATGGTATATTTTCAGCTTTAAATTTAACTGTTTAGTCTTAGTCTTTCTAAATTGTTTCAAACACTGTGGTTCTCAGCTTTGCAAACAGATTATTCCCATGTGGAATACTTTACTTTTATGCAGGTGCAAACAGCCTGAGACTTAAGGTGATACATTTATGTCAGTTTCTGTGCTTTTTCCTAAAATCCCAATTTCTGCAGTTTCACTGTGTAATTAGCAATGTTAAATCTGTGAAAGTTGATAAACCTGATGCCACTGAAGAGCCTTGGCTGCTGCTGGGAGACTCCCTATCTTTGTGTCAAGCTGCAGCCTGCAAACAGATTCAGCATGTAAGGAATGTTGAACTGTTTATGTAGTGAAGGAAACTTCATCAGGAAAAAAAAAAAAAGTTGATCTATGTTTCACAAATGAAGTTAAATACCCTGGAAAAAACAAATGCTCTTGGCCTTGGCAACAGATAAATGCAAAGAGTTGCTCAGTAGAAAGCAGAGGATGCTCAACTCTTGCTTGTTGTTGTCAGTGTAATTTTTTTGCCCTTCCTGCTGGGCAGTGGGAATATTCTGGATCCTGTCAGTGCTGCTTGGTGTGGGATGCTCTGTACAATAAAGTGTTCTTACCCACCTCTGTCCTTCACTGTGGGAATAACAAATGTGCCACGTGTCATCAGGATTACTCCAATATCTGTTCCAACTTCTAGAAGTAAGTTAGGCAAATAAAGAACTGGTTAAATGATAAGTCAATCTGTAAGAAATGGTGTTTACAAACCCATGATTTCAAACTGCAGAATTACGAGTGCAGAGCCCACTGTGCCTCTCTGGGTTCTGTCCCTCAGGGCCTGTTGCTGCTCCAAAAGTGCCTCCCTGAGCCTGTGGCTCAGAGTGTGATGCCACACACAGCAGTGTCCCAGACACCACAGTCACACCACAGAGGAGTATCCATCCATGGAATAGAAAATGCTTTATGAAACATGAGATGTAACGTGTTCCTCTCTCTTTTCTAGGGAGGAGATGTTGGTGGTGATATTTTTGGTGAGTAACTTCCTTGGACTCCTCTAGTAAAAGCCTGTTGCAGGTGGCTTTGCAGTAGAAGAGGATGGAGGATCTATAAATGGTCATTTATTAGGAGAGAGGCAGCCTGGGGTTGTCCCTGGAACCCATCACATCAACAAAGTGACCAACTGCTTCCCTGGAGTGTGGGCATGGAGGGAAATGGGGAGTGCTGTTGCTCTCAGGGTAAAAAGGAGACCTGTCCTGTTGGTTTGTTTTGCTAGTAGCTGTTGGTGTCAAGATTTGTCTGAATACTGGAAGGTGAGGTGGAGACTCCTGCAAAGAGTTCAGTGATTGAAAGGCTATGCTGCTGTTAGAGTTGCTTATAATTATACTTAAATTAAATATGCTTATAATTAAATAGGACATGCATCAACATAATTGATTTTAGCTTAGCAGTTTCCTTCTTTCCCATTGTCTTTTCATACAGCAAACTCCACATTCACAGGAAGAATCAAACCCAGCTACTGCTTCTGCAAGTGTCTGTATTAACCAGCTTTTCCCTTCCTGTTGCTTTTTAAATGCTGATTTTTGCCAAGGAAGTTGATCTGCATACTGCAAATGTCCTGTAAACAGGCATTTCCCCTTGAAGTGCTTTTTCTAGCTTTGAGGCTGGAAATGCCTCCTTTGCAAGATGCACTTTAGGAATATCTGACTTCCTGATGACAGGAATTCGTGTGTTGACTGCTGCTTTCCAAGTGCTGCTTTCAACACCTTACAGTGGTGGGACATCCCTGAGGCCATTAGCACCTCCATGTCCTGAAAAGACACTTGCTGGGAGGGGGGAGAGCTTTTCCAGAACATTTCCACTACTACTGAGTGGTGTCTGTGCCTAAAATAAGAGTTGCCTCTCTAGCAGGCTGCTTCTAATCCAACTGTCCAGGCTCTAGGATTTCTTTCCCATGTCTGTCTGATCTTAATTAGCACTGTAGGCATCTAGTGTTTATGCCTTGAGTAGGAGGATGTGGTTTGCTAATAGGAGAAAACTGCTCCAAGGGCTCTGCTGCTTTTCCTGGTGCCTGTTTAAACCAGCTTCCCACAGGGCAGAGGAGATCCCACAAACAGCAGGGAGGTGAGAAGGGCTGAGATGCCAGGAAGCAGAAATAGGGCTGCCTGGGATCAGGACAGCTGGCTGAAACTTGGTGTGCAAAGTGGGGTTCCTGACTTTTTAAAAAAGTTCACCTTTTCAAAGGTGTTATATTTGTATTTTGGTTTGTTTCTGACAAGTGACAGTGAAGGAAGTTCTTATCAAGGATCAGGTGAATATATGCTGGGAAGTGGTTAAAAAAACAAGTGTCATGGAAAGTAACTGGGATTGTTTCTTGTTGTGGCCATGACTGAAAATTACATTTTTGAAGGTGGCCAAGATGAAATAAAAATGGCAGGCAGAGGTTTGAGTGTTAAACTTTCACTGATGGTACTTAGGAAGGAGTAGAAATTAATGCCTCCTGGAAATGGTGTCTGTGGCAAATACCTGAACATCCTGATGGATTGTTAAATGAATTCCTACCATCATTGATTGCTTTGGGTGTTTAGTAGAGTGGAGCCCAGTCCCTCTGATCTGGCTGTCCCTCCCCTGGATTTTCCTGCTGTGGGATGGCAGATTTAGACTACTGAACATCCCACTGGCATACCTGGGACTTTGTACTGGCCCTGTAGGGCTGACTCTGGGGTTAGGAAAGGAACAGTGAACACCTCCAAGCAAAAGCTGTCTGCTGTCAGGTTCACAGCACAACCAGATTCTTAACAGGTTTCTGTCATTAAAAAATGTTTAGTCTTTTGAATGTGGAAATTATTTTCTGTATGTAACCCCAAGTATGTGTCAGGTGGGATATGTATGTTTATTAATCAAGCCTGTCTAGGGTAAAAAACCCACTTAATTTGCAGAAGGGCTCTTGTTTCCTCTTTGGAAGCTGTAGTTCCTTGTGGGCATCAGAGTTCCCAGTGGCTTGCAGTGCACTCAGCAGGGAGCTGTTTCAGGAATTAGACCCTTTCTGGGAAGGGAGGAGCTTTAATATTTTATCTGATCCTGTTGGTTTTACCACTGTGCTCATCAGGTTGGCAGACTTACCTTGATTATGTGGGAAGTGCTAATGTATATCAGCTACACAAGGAGCTGCAGAAACTTCCCCCAAAGCCTCCTGTGCTGGTAATTCTTGGGGTTTTTTTGTGATTCAGGGGCAGTGTGAGCAGCTGAGGGGAATCAGGCAGTGCCCATGGGCTGTGAGCAGTGCTGACTGTACATGACCCACAGGAAGGTGGAGCCTGGATCCTGCCCAGGGCTGGGACTGTCCCCAGGCAGGAACATTCAGCCCTTGCTCAGTCAGCAGACTGGGACACACCAGCTGCAGGAGCTTAAAATGTGGTGTTAACCCAGCCCAGCTGAAACAAACAGTTAATGAGCACAGCAGAGGATCTCTAGTGGAGATTATTCCTGACTGGATGTGCTCAGGTGCTGGAATTCTTTGAGAATATTATAAGCATGGATATAGGGGGATTCAGTGGGCACAAGTTGGGTTTTGGTGTTTCTGATGACATTTTGCATTGAAAAATATAAACTGAGTTGACACAGGATGTGAGGAAAGCTGCTCTGGGGGTAGGAAGAACAGGAGGCAAAGGGTAGGACTTAGTAATTACCTTTCAGGTTGGAAAAATGAGCTATGGGAGATGATAGGAGGTGTTTTTATTCAGTGCCTTTGTCTGTGACCTGGAAAAGGTAATGAACAGTGAAGTCTCCAGTTTTGTTGGTGATATTACCTCTTTCAAGTAGTCAAATTGTGCTGATGGTGGGAAAATCTCACTGCCAGAAGGACTCAGCTAAATGAGGCAGGCAGGTGTAAAGGCAGGATAATCCCTGTGTAAGCAAGTGTAAAGTAATGAATTGGGGGGGTAACCCCCAAAAACTAAACCATGGCAGCCTTGTATTCAGCTCTGTGCTGAGGATCTCCCAAGATCTGCCTTGAGTCCTTCCCCTTGAAATTCTTTGAGGTGTTTGGAGGTGCCAGAAAAATACTGAATGTCATCAGGGAGAGGATGGAAAATCAGATACTGTTAACTGTAAACAATGGTAATACCCCTGTATCTTGAATTGTGTGCAGTCTTTGACACATGAAGAGCAGGGGGTTGTAGTGGAGGTCACAGGGAAGGGGAAGATGAAGGGGTGCAGTGGCTGCTCTGTAAGGGGAGATTGGAATAGTTGTGCCTGTTTGAAGAGAAGGCTGGGGGAGGAAAATGGATCAAGATCTGCTAAACCATGAAGCTTAAGCTGAATGTGCAGCAGTCCCTTGAATTCTCCCAACCCAGAATGAGTGAGAGGAAGCAAAGGGGTCTGTGGAAAACAGGTGAGGTTCATCTTTACACCAGTGTCAGGGGCTGCTTGGTGCTGATTGGGGCCTTTGGCTCAGAACTGATCATGCTAATCTGTAAAAATGTGAGATGCTGGTGTACTTGTACTCAATTGTCAACAATGCAAATACATTAATTGTTTGCTCCAGTATCTAAAGTGCTTCCTGTGAAGAATTCCTTCTGTGCCCTGTCTTCACTTGTGGTTTGCTCAGAAGGATTTAAGATAAACTCTCATGTGCTCTCCAGGGAGTGTACAATCAGAGGCTCCCCATGCATGGCTGTTCCCTGGTGTGTCCTGTGTGAAGCCTCAGAAGTGTGTCAGATCCCTTTCCCTCCAGTTAGGAAATTGGGGATGCACTTTGAGCTCTTGCTGGTGCTGCTGTGGCTCCCAGCACCTGCTCAGACCTGAGTGACAACACCACAGTCACAACACTGACTGATTATATGTAGAAGCCTTAAGCTGCTTGTCATTAAAAAAATGAATTGCTGGTGTCCCCTAATTGCAGCTGGCTGAATGTGGCTCTTGCTGAAGGCCTGAGACAGCTGTAAGGCCTCAGATTTGATCTGAGAAACACTTCTGAGGGCTGAGTCTGCCCTGCCAGTGGGTGACAGCACTGGAGTGTGTCTGTAGCCCTGGAGAAATCTGACAGGAGCTGAGCTTCTGTCTGAGCTAGCCAAACATCTGGCTCTCATCGTCCACATCAAACACTTTAAAAGCTTCTTTTCTTCTAGAAAACACTGAGGCTGATGTAGAAGCTGCCCCAGGTCAGAGTGAAGAAAAGTCCCTGCCTGCTGCACCTGTTCCTAGCCCAGTAGCACCAGCACCTGCACCCTCCAGGAGAAATCCACCCGGTGGCAAGTCCAGCCTAGTGCTCGGTTAAACCTTTCCCTTCCTGACTGTTTTGAACTCGTGTCTGTTTTCTTTCCCCCATGCTTGTGAACTGCACAACTTGAGCCTGACTGTACATCTCAAATTTCTTTCATTAAAAAGAAGCACTTTATGTACTCCATCTTTTTTTGAAATTAAGGGTTTTTTTCCACTTCTGTCCTTTGTTTCCCCCAGATCTACTGGAAGTGACATGAGTGTTTTCTAGTGATAGATTGAGGGAAAGCTTTATGAAGTATTGTAATGTAATTCAAAGGAGAGTAGCTTGGTTCTAAGTGTGCTTAGAGGGTTTTTGTACTGAGTTTGTTTTTTTTTAGAACCCCTTAGCTTTACAAGGGTCTAGAATCCTGGTTAACCAGGCCAGCAAACAATCAGCAAGAGCAGTCCCTTCCTCCACATGTGGGATTTAGGTATCTAAAAGGCTTCATTGACTGCACGTGGTAAATGCCTTGAGCCCTGCTGTGCCATATAAATCATTAAGTGGTTAATGTACACCATGCTGCCTTTAAAAACAAAACAAACCTTGATACTGGACTACTATGACACAGGGTCTGTGCCAAATAGAGGGCTGATGACCAGAGCCACCTGGCCTAGTGCTGGGAAGGGGCTGATTCAGACTTTATTCAGTAAAGGTGGAGTGGATCTTATAAATAAGAATTACAGGGCATTTTTTTTTACAACTGACTCAATGCTGTGCATGATCATGCTGGTGCTTGACCATGAGGTGAAAATCTCATCCTTTAAAAGTGTGTGTTGTAATTTCACAAAGCTGGATTGTTGCTTAAAAGTAAATAATATAGAAATTTTGAAGCAGTGTTTCCTGTGTGGGTTTTATTTCACGGGCTTGGTCTTGCTTTGTTCTCAGTTGTCTCATCCAACCTTCCCTGCTCTAACAGAGGAGAGTTCTTACACCTGGCTTGAGGTCACCACCATGTGCTGGCTTCCCCTGAAGAATCTGATTTATCTCTTAATTTTTGGCTTCTAGGTCAGAGATCTGTGGAATATGGCTTGATTTATGATATGGTTTATCCAAAACACTGTTTTTTCTCAAGAAAACTGAGAAAAGTTTATTTTCTTCATTAACAAGAAAAAAACCAGAGGACCCTAAAAACGGCGAGGGTGGAATTGAAATCAAGCCATGAAGGGCTCTGCTGCCCAGTAAGCCACAGCAGAGCATCTCTATGGAGCTGCTGGTGCTTTTTCCACCCTTCTCCAGGAGGAACCAGTGCCTGAAGCACCCTGGCTTTCCCAGTCACTGCTGCAGAAGCCCTTCCCTGGGGTGCTGAACCTACCCAACTGGATTTTCTCTGATGTGCTCCTCTGCCCTCCCCCGGGAGGGTTCCCTGGAGCCGATGTGCACAGACAGCATGGGCAATAACCCATCAATTAATATTTCCTTTGCAAGCCTCATGCCCAGGGGAGCTCCTCCATGCTCCTCGATCGAGCATCTCTATGGAGCTGCTGGTGCTTTGTTCACCCTTTTCCTGAAGCACCCTGGCTTTCCCAGTCACTGCTGCAGAAGCCCTTCCCTGGGGTGCTGAACCTACCCAACTGGATTTGTTCTCTGCCCTCCTCCCGGGAGGGTTCCCTGGAGCCGATGTGCACAGACAGCATGGGCAATAACCCAACAATTAATATTTCCTTTGCAAGCCTCATGCCCAGGGGAGCTCCTCCATGCTCCTCGATGGCTGCTGAGGCTCCGCTGCGCTTCCTTCCCCTCGGGCAGCCGCGTCCCGCTCACTGCGGGGTCCCAGGGTGGCTTTGTGGGCTTGTGCTGTGTTCCTGGAGCGCAGCCTGGTCCCACGGGGGGCTGTTCTGCTCCGCCCCTCATGAATATTAATGTGGATAATATGCATATGCATGAGCGCTCCGGCCGTGCCGGAGCCGCGCTGTGCTGCCCGCCGGGCTCGGAGCTCTGCGCTCGGCATGGGCAGCGCGGCCGCGCCGCTGCGGGTGCTGCTGGACATGGACGGGGTCCTGGCCGACTTCGAGGGCGCGGTGCTGCGGGAATTCCGCGCCCGCTTCCCGGCGGAGCCGCGCGTGGAGCTGGCGGCAGAGCATCTCTATGGAGCTGCTGGTGCTTTTTCCACCCTTCTCCAGGAGGAACCAGTGCCTGAAGCACCCTGGCTTTCCCAGTCACTGCTGCAGAAGCCCTTCCCTGGGGTGCTGAACCTACCCAACTGGATTTTCTCTGATGTGCTCCTCTGCCCTCCCCCGGGAGGGTTCCCTGGAGCCGATGTGCACAGACAGCATGGGCAATAACCCATCAATTAATATTTCCTTTGCAAGCCTCATGCCCAGGGGAGCTCCTCCATGCTCCTCGATGGCTGCTGAGGCTCCGCTGCGCTTCCTTCCCCTCGGGCAGCCGCGTCCCGCTCACTGCGGGGTCCCAGGGTGGCTTTGTGGGCTTGTGCTGTGTTCCTGGAGCGCAGCCTGGTCCCACGGGGGGCTGTTCTGCTCCGCCCCTCATGAATATTAATGTGGATAATATGCATATGCATGAGCGCTCCGGCCGTGCCGGAGCCGCGCTGTGCTGCCCGCCGGGCTCGGAGCTCTGCGCTCGGCATGGGCACTGTTCCTGGAGCGCAGCCTGGTCCCACGCGGGGCGCTCTGCTCCGCCCCTCATGAATATTAATGTGGATAATATGCATATGCATGAGCGCTCCGGCCGTGCCGGAGCCGCGCTGTGCTGCCCGCCGGGCTCGGAGCTCTGCGCTCGGCATGGGCAGCGCGGCCGCGCCGCTGCGGGTGCTGCTGGACATGGACGGGGTCCTGGCCGACTTCGAGGGCGCGGTGCTGCGGGAATTCCGCGCCCGCTTCCCGGCGGAGCCGCGCGTGGAGCTGGCGGAGCGCCGGGGCTTCTCGGTGCGGGAGCAGTACCGCAGCCTGCGGGAGGAGCTGGCGGTGAGTGCGCCCGCGGGGCCAGCGCAGCCTCCCCACCCCGCTGCAAACCTCCCCGCTGTGCAAAGCTCAGCGTGAGACCGGGATTTTCGTTTTAAAAAACCCTTAAATTTCCTGCCTTTTTTTTTTTTTTTTTTTCATGTATACCTAGGTGGGATTCATTTAAGGGATATTCAAAAAATAAGTCATGTTTGTTTATGTAAGATAATAACCGAATTCATGCCTGCTCTCTCTATATTTGCAGGTTCCTAGTTCCAGGAACTTGTGACCACCCGTAGTCATCGATCAGAACTCGGGCAGTTTGGAGCCTGTGGAAATGCTGACTGGATTCATGCTCCTGTACTTCTCTATAGGGCAGGAGGGAAATGAAATTGTCATTTCTTAGCAGTAAAAAACAAGCTCGGTACATGTTCTTAAAATGAGCAATAAGCTTCTAGGGAAAGTGTTCAGCACAGCTTGGATCAACATCTGTTCCATTTCCTTACAGAGTCCTTGACTGCCCTGTGGTGACCAGAAGGAAGGGTGAAGTCTGGATTTACTGTATTTCTAATTTTGTCTTGCAGACCTCTCTGTTACTCATTCAGCCATTAGCAAACATTAAAAATGGCAGCAGTTTGCATGGATGGAGGGTGTTCCAACAGCTTTCTCCTGCTGTTCCTGATCTCTTACCTGCCATGCACTCGGCTTGTCAGGGCATGCAGAAGGAATATGGATACAATCATTCTGTACAAACTCAGACAGAACATATATAGTTCTTGTCCTGCTGTGGAGCTGTGTGAGCACATGCAGAGTGCGCAGGGAGCTTTCAGTAAGTTATTGTTCTGCTGCAAAACAAGAACAACATGAGTGGGTAAGGAAGAAGATGGTTCAGTGAATGGTTTGATGGCAGAATTCCCCCACACACATCTGTCTGTAAAGGGCTGCCTATCCTGGAAGAAGTCACTGATTATCAGTACACAAATTAAGGCTGCATGAAACACAAAATTAGAAATACTGTGAATCCAGACTCACCCTTCCTTCTGGTCACCATAGGACAGTTGAGTTCCTTACAGGGCTCTGTAAGGAAACTGCTGACCCAGGCTGTGCTCTCTTTTCCTGAGAAGTTAATTGCTCATTTTAAGATCCTGTACTGGGCCTGGGAGGTTTTACTGCTAAGAAATGACAGTTCACATTCATTTCACTCCTGTTCCATAGTGAGGTAAAACCTCCTGCCTCAGAGTAAGGGGCAGGAGTGCTGGATCCAGTCAGCATTTCCACTGCTGGAGTTCAGATCAATGATTATTGATGGCCAAAAGTTCCTGGAAGCAGAAACCTGTAAATATAGTCAGTAGACTTAAATTTGGCTATTACATTGCGTAAACAAGAATGATTTTTTGTTTAAATGAATATTCCTTAAACTAATCCCATGGAAAAAAAAAAAAAAAAAGGAAAAAGTTGCAGGTAAGTCAAGGGATCGTGACTTTCTTTTTTTTTTTATTTTTTGGAAGATCTACAATCTGATCTATGAGAAAATTACCCTTTGTTCTATTTCTGGAATCCTCATTCCCTAATTTGGTTCATGCTCATCCTGTTCCCCCCCAGACTTTGGGTGTGGCAATGAAATAACCAGATAACTGGTTTGGATCCCAGCACACCAGCCCTGGCAGAAAGCTCTTATCTTGCTGTTCTAGCATGACTTCCTAAGGAAATAAGCTTTATGGAGCTGTGATGTGTGTCTGTCTCCTTCAGAAATCTCTGGAGCTTTGGGCTGCTTTAGGTATCTTTGGCAGAACAATAAAGTTATAGTTTTAAAGATCTGAGGCTCCATTGGGTTTTACATAAATTCCATCCATTAGTTTAAAAACAGAGTCCTTGTTTGTTCTGCTGTGGCTCTGTAGAGTGTCTGTGGGACAGGAGAATCCCTGTGGAAAGTCTCTCCTTGGCTCTAGCTGCAGGGAAAGCTTTGGCAGGAGCCAGCAGCCACACAGGGCACTTTGTGTGTCCATGCAGGGATCAGCTGGACAGCAGGGGGGTTAGCTGGACACCAGGGAATCAGCTGGACACCAGGGGGTCAGCTGGACACCAGGGGGGTCAGCTGGACACCAGGGGGCTCAGCTGGACACCAGGGATCAGCTGGACACCAGGCTCTTTGTGGCAGGTGTCAGCTGTGTCTGTCCATGAACTGGAGGGTGTGAGATATTCTGGTGGTAGGGCCTGGGAAGTGCTGTGGTGATGATTTATGCATCACCTCTTCCTGAGTGGTGTTCATGCTTAGTTGGTGCCCCTTGAAACTTGAGCCATTGCTTTGGTTCTGTTTCTGTTTTCATTGCAAGTTGATCATTAATTTCACACTGTAAATCCATTTTATTTGGAAGGGCTTCTAATCTATTTTATTTTGTTGAAGATTTTTTCACTGCACTTGCCTAGCTGCCCTCCTGTGTGTGTGGCCATTTTGTTGGTGGGGATTTATCTCTGTGTTTCCTGGCCCCAGACAGTTTCAAGAAAAGGATTCAACATCCCCACCAGTGGTAAAATTTTTTTGAATTATTTTGAAGTCCTGCAAATGGGAAAGCATAGGGACAGATGCAGTCCCTCCAGTTCTGTATCCAAATTGTTATCTCACTAACAGAAGTTAAAAGGAAACGTTCAGCATTTGTGGCATGAACATGAGGAAAGAAAACGGTTTTACTTTCTTTTTCTAGTCAGTTTTTTATGAGAGGAAATGGCTTCTGGTTCCAAGAGTCATCAAATCAAATTTCTTTCTCCAACAAAGTCAGACTTTTTTGTGATGTGGTGGAAACTTGCCAGTTTCTGGTGTCTTGCTGAAGGATGAAAGAGCTTTCAGACACAAGCCCTAAGTCTGTAATTCAATCTCCTTGGGAAGAGCTCCAGGGAATTGTTGCTGGGATCAGGGAGGCTTTGCATGGAAACAGAGATCCGGGCAGATCTGATTGCCATGTCTGAACCTAGACAGGCTGCTTAACCTCTTCTGATCTGTGTGTGAAATCAGGCAGTGCTTCCAGCTGCTCATCGTCCTCTTTCTCCTGCAGGCCAAGGTAGCCAGTGTCTATGAGTCCCCTGGCTTCTTCCTAGGCTTGGATCCAATTCCAGGAGCCCTGGAAGCTGCGCAGGAGATGCTCCACATGCAGGAGTAAGGGCACTTTGCACCCTGCAGCCCTTTTCCAGGATCTAACACACTTTCCCCTGACTGCTAACAAAGGCTGTTTCTTTCCAGTACTGAAGTCTTCATTTGCACGAGCCCTCTCCGGAAATACGAGCACTGCGTCGTGGAGAAGGTGGGAGAGAATAGGTTTTATTGGGTTTGATGCTGCTTTTGCAAGGCCTTGCTGTTTCATGCTACCCAAGCTGGAGCAACTCCTTTCTAGAGACAGTAGCTGCTCCAGCTGCCAGGCTTCCCCCAGTCTCTCTCTGGGGGATAGGTTCTCACACACAGAGCAGTAACTCGGAATCTCCAAGTGCCACATTGCCAGAATTGCTGTGGAGCATGTGAGCCCTGGGCTCTTGGAGCTGGGCTGGGAGCAGCTGTGTCAGCAGGTGACAACAAAGGAGCTGTTGTAGTGTGACCCACAGGGATGGGATATTCCCAGGGGATTCAACTCCTGAGAACCACCAAACAACAAAACCTACTTCAGTCTAAATCTGGAGCCTGAGATGTCCCAGAAGAGGTCAGTGCTGTGTTGAGGAGCTTGTAGTGTTGGAATAAGTCCTTTGTGCCTGTGGTACAAGAATGGAAGGGGGGACTTTGATCACTGGAATGACTTGGATGGGTTCAGCCCACGTGCTCTGGGCAAGCAGCCAGTGCTGCTCACAAACTCAACAGTTGGGCACAGCCAGGGCAGTGCTGAGTGGAGGCTGTGACACAAACAGGTTTAATCAGCATCCTGGGCCGCAGCCAGCCTCCATGTGGGGATTCCTAGACACAGATAAGGTTTACAGGGGGAAGAAATTGCTCTGTTAGGGCTGGTCTGACAGGAGCGATGTGCAAACTGAGAGCACAGAGGGATTTTCTCCTGTTGTCTCTGCAGTACAAGTGGGTAGAGAAACACTTGGGACCCGAGTTTGTGGAGCGGATTATTCTGACCCGAGACAAGACCCTGGTGGCTGCTGACCTGCTGTTTGATGACAAGGACACCATCCAAGGTTTGAACAGCACTTCCATGGTCAGCTGCCGGCTGGGGAGCCACCCCGCAGCTGATCCCAGCTTTCCCCCCTTTCCTGCAGGCGCGGAGCCGAAGCCGAGCTGGGAGCACATCCTGTTCACCTGCTGCCACAACCGGCACGTCCAGCTGCCGGCCCCGCGCCGGCGCCTGCGCTCCTGGGCCGACGACTGGCAGGCCATCCTGGAAAGCAAGCGCAGGCACTAGGCCAGGAAGGGGATGCTGTGCCCTTCCCACCGCCAGGAAACAACCAGCCCACCCCCTGCCACTGCAGGGGTCACAGAAGGAAGGAGCTGCTCCTGTCAGACACAGTGCTCCGGGTTTCTGGAGGTTGCTCTGCACTGTTAATCTCTGTAGCGTTTTGGATGTTTGCTGTTGGAGAAGAGAAACTATAAACTACAAGCAGCTGTGGTTGGATTTTTGTGTGGTTAACGTCACTCCTGTTTGGTTTGTGCTGTGTGGGGGCAGAGGGGAGAGAAAAAGAGGAAGAAGGCTCTCAAGCGTGAGCAGATCCAGTGTGGGTGTCTGTCAGGAAACACTGGGCTCAACAGTAAAACCTTTTAAATTTTATGTATTTACCACCCTGATTATTGGGTTTTCTCTTGCCTCACGGCTGATAATGGAAAGAGACTAGGCTGACTTTGATTTCTTGGCCCATGTGCTTCTCACACAGAACTGATTACACAGCATTTGAGTTAAGTTAATGTTTTATTAACAGAAGCTTTTACAAGACAGCTGTTCTCATGAGCCAGACTACCATGAGCCCCCCTCCTTTTTTTTTTTTTAATAATTACTTCACCTTTCTCACCAGTGGTAATAAAAGACAAACTTGCCACTTATTCATTTATAGGGCAGTTACAGCCTGCCCTGTGTAGTGATTCCATAGCTGGCTGCCTGTGCCACGATTAGAGGATGGCATAACTAGTGCCACAGGGATGGAGACTGTGAACTGCCAGGGCAGGGAAACTCCTTTCTCTGCAGGAGGAATACATTTCTGTGACATTTCAGTGACTTGAGCTGACACTTAATGTCACTTGTCACCAACACTGGAGGGGAGAGGTATAGCACAACTAGCCAGGAACCGGACTGGATACAATTCTGCCCAATAACCCGAGCAGAACACCCCTCATTGCTGGGAAGGGTTGTTTGTGCAAGCTGGGTGCCAAGCTGCACTTGGCAAAGCACTTTCCAACGTGCAGCCATGACCTGCTTTATTTTAAATATTTGCAGGCTTAGCTGTGTGCTTGGCCCAGTTACTGCTGTTCCATCGTGTTTGTTGACTAAACAGCAGTGGTGGGACCAGCTCCAGTCTTTACTGCTGCTCTTGACCTGCTGAGCAGAAAGCGAGAGCAGCAGGAGGTTCCCGCTCAGTCCTTGGGCAGAGGGATGCCCACTGCCGTGTGCTTGCTGAGGTTCCTGGCCTCCTCCAGCTGCGGAGGGCTGCAGTAGTCCTGCAGGAAGATGGATGCCAGGTTGCTGAGGCGCGTGTTGGCCGAGAGCGAGAAGCGGAGCATGCACTCCACCACGGGCAGCGCCGTGGTCTGCGCGCGCGACCGCGGCGTCGTCAGGAACATCAGCGTGGTCACGGCCGACACCACGGTCTCCTCGTTGGAGCTGGACAGGCAGCTGATGATGGGCTCCACCCCGTTGGCCTCCAGGATGTACTCTTTGTTTGTTTTATCCAAGCACAGGTTGCAAAGACCACCTGGAACGGCAGGAGGAAAGTGTTGGAAACGCTCATCCCGTTTCTAACAATCACATCTTCTGCATGGATGGAAAATTCCTAACGATTCCCTAGGCCACGTGTTTTTGATTGTTTCCAATGATTTTCCACCAGCACACTCCTCCTGTGTGTCATTAGAGGGCACTGTTACTGCTGCACATAACTGCTTCCACAGCATGATTCCAGGAATGCCCACTCATCCCCAAGCCAGCAGTTTATTGCAGGTGCTATAGAAAGCCAGAGAATGGAGGTAACAGAGTTTGTAGCCAAGAAACAGAGAATATTTGAAACTTGAAACTTTGAGATGCAGCCACAAACCTTAAAAATCAAATCCATTTAGTATCACCTCACAGAACCACTCACAGCATCTGGCCCTTTAGCTTATGTTCAGACCATGAAATATCGTGGTAAGGCAGTTCCTTAAAAGATCTATTAAAATTGTCAAGTATTCCAGAAGATCAGTTGCCAATAGCAGAATGGTTACATGGATGTGGCACAATGTATCTGGCAAAATCTACGTATTAATGACTGCTTCTCTACAGGAGAGATTTCAGTAAAAAAATCAGATAGTGTTTAGGAAAACAACCCTCTAGATCCTTTCCAGATAGTGTCTTCATTAAGCTCTGTAGGAACATACGCCTGCCTCTGCCTTCTCTCCCATTCTGCACTAAAGCAGGCTTTATCAGCGTGAGTTTGTTTTTGGAGCCCGGTGTGCATTTGGGGCGGGTTAAGGGCCACACCGAGCGCAAGGCCGGTGTCCCCTGCCCGGGTGACAGCTGAGGGTGCCCGGGGCAGGATTACCCATGGCAAACTCCACGAGGCTCTCGTTGTCCTCGGTAAGCATGTCGAGGAACAGGTCCAGCACCTGCAGCTGCCGCAGATACTCGTAGTTGCTGGGATCGTAGGCGAAGTTGGCCAGGTTCGCCAGCACCTGCTCCTTGGCCTCTGCAAGGGAAAAGGGAAAAGGGAAAAGGTCGGGGCGGTGAGGAAACGCGCGACACGGAGAGGGCGAGCGAGCAGCGGCGTTTGTTACCTGTGCTGTCCGTCACCTGGAACTCGGTGACGAGCGCCTGCAGGTACTCCAGCCGACCCAGCTCCATGGGGGGACACCGCGCCGGGCTGCCCGTTCCCCCGGGCAGCGTGGGCTCAGGGGCCGGGAGCACCGAGCAAGGGAGACGAACCGGCCGCGGCCATCTTGTGGGCGGGAGAGGGCGGCGCCATCTCCCCTCAGGCGGAGCGGGAGCGGCCGCCATTTTGTGGGCGGGGGGCAGGTCTGCTCCTCAGGGGAGGTGGTGATCGCCCCGCGCCTCTCACTCTTTCTAAATACATTATGTATCATTATATATTTTATATATAAAAATAAATGAGCCTATGTCGAGATATTTGACTCATTACATGGCAGAGCTTTGCTGTTTAAACGCTTGGTTTTGCAAAGCAGCTAACCCTTCCCCACTGATTACTTACTTTAATAATTTTCACCTCTCTGTATGTTCTGCTGTTCCATCACAATGCTGTTCTCCTTGTGGTAGTGCTGCTCCTGGATCAGTTCCAGTTTAAATAACGGGATTGCAATTCATGAAGCTGAGGGAGAAAAGGTGAAAACAGGGCACAATACTTGCACAGTGAGGGAAATTATCTGGGAAAGAAAATGAAACAAAGCCAGGGAGTCAATTAAAAGAGCAGCAGGTGATTCCATCTTGGTTGTACAATGGTTTGGGCACAGAGCAGAGCAATTCCCTTGTCTTGAAGTAACATAGATCAGTGAAACCACCACAATATTACGTGCTGCAAGAGGGTTCAATTATGGTGCATGTTGTGTAAATATACAAGGTAAAGGTTAATAAAGATCATAAACTATGGGAGTGGACTCTGCAGAAATTTGTACTGCTTTTATTGAAGCAATTACATGCATGGCTGTTCTGTGGATAAGGCAAGGAACAGGCCGTGAGAATATGTTGTCTTTTGTGTTATCTCAGATACAATTGATTTTCATGTCAAGCAAATTAGTCATGGACTGATCCACATGGCACCGGTGACAAGAGTGGGCTGATGACCCACACAGCTGAGGGCACTGAAATAACCTGCCCATGACTACATTAAATGGAAGGATGGGCAAAGAAGCTTTACTGAATGCAGTAATGCTAAATATTTCAATGTTATAATGGTCTGGGAAGACACAAAACATGAAAGGGAAGATATTTATTTCTACCTGGTATAAAAGTTTAAGCCGGGATAAGTGCTAACAACTTCAGCTCTTAGCATGATTATCAACTGAAGTTATTATGTATTTATGTGTATGTCTAAATATATACATGTATTTTTATCTGCATATTTGAGTATATCTATCAGAAAATGATCAGCAAAGGTGCTACAAACTGTGTGAATATTAGAATGTTTTGCTGCTGTAGTAAGAAATCTTTGCTAATGTGTGCCTTTGTAAGTGGTAAGTGTTGTTATACTTTAAAACCTCATCTGTCATGAAATCGAAGGTGAATGAGTAATGTGGGAAAGCAGGAACAGAGAAAGCAAACACAGGGAGCTAGTCCAGACAAACAGAGCGCTGCTGGGATTGACTAAGAGGGGGAAGCTGTGTTTAAAAAGGAAAAATGTGATTACTTCTGTTTGCAAGAACTGCATTTACCCACCCCATATTGGCTGTATAGTTTAATGGTCTGAGTGCTCCAAGCGCTTGCTGTTTGCCAGAGCAATTCCCAGAGCAGGGGCTGGTCTAGCCAGGGTAGTCACAGCTCCAGGGACTATTCTGGTGACTTCCATAGCACACTGAAGCCAGAATTCAGGAAATGTTAATTTCTAGTAGTTGTTTCTTTTCTTATAGCTACTAGCAATGTCTGCAAACAGCAAGCCAGGCTCTTAAATTAAGTGATTTTACACTTCAGAGGTATCGTAGAGTGTGTAAGATTGCTGCAACCTTTATTTGGTGTTTATTGCTATTAAATAGAAATAATTAATATTAAACTTTCCCAGGTATTACCCTGGCAGAGAATCTTAGGCTTTTAAGGATCATGATCTTGCAATACTTCAGTGTGAATTTCTCAGTGTGAATGTTTCATTTCAGTGAGGAAAGGTGCTTCTAGCCAAAATGCTTATCTTGCAATGGTCAGAATATCTTCAATGATAAAGGGGGTAGGGGAGGGGCAAGAGGGGACAGGGTGAGCAGGGAACATTTAATTCTGGTCAACTTTTGTGGCTCTGCTATTTCTCAGATATTTGTAACCTGGCTGAGTTATTAGTGTTCATCCCAAATTAAAGCCAGGGCTGTTTTACTATTTGCAGGTGTTAAAGAAACACCTTCAGTTGTTTCTGCTTCAGTGAGGGTGTGGTTGCCTTGTGTGAAGGGCTGACCTTAAACTAATGGGGCAACTTTTATCACTTTCCTTTCCTTCTGGTCCCCAAGATTCCTAAGGGCTGAGTGTTGCTGCACCTGTAGGATCCCTCTGAGAGGGAATATTTATTGTTCTGTGGCATGCTCAGGTTTCTCCTGTATCCTTTGCCAAGCTCCTGCTCAAGGCAGCTTGGAGTTCAGGCTGGAAACGCACATGGGAGAGGAGACTCATGGAAAGGAGAGGAGGGGGGTTGTTTTCTCTGTTATGGGAACTAAGACATCGTATTTACCTGTGGAAACACAGCATAAAATGTTGCTTCTTGTCTGCTGAGGATTTGCTTCAAACCTGTG